ATATATATAATTTGTTTTGTAATATCATAATATAAACAATAATATGTGTTTTTTAGGAAATCGCTACTTTTGCTAACATCAATAGTGGCAAGTCTCTTGGTAGGAATTACAATTTTAATATTATTTGTTATATGGAGGCGCTACAAAAAAATTTCATACAAAATCAAAAAATCGTCATCAGATGAGGATTCAACAGGTGAGTGAACTCATCTACACACTGTAAAATTGAGAGTTGCAATATAACTAAATGCGGTACAAGCTACTGGTGTTCTCATTTATAACATACAGTACCCCGACTAGAAATTTGAGGGGGGTGCATGTAGAATCCTTAAGTGGGTAGATCACTACCTCTTGTGGGCCCCATGAGGTTGCCTTCTAGGGCCAGGAAGGGGCATATGACGCCTTGCCGCATTTGCGCATCATTAGGAATGCCGCATGTGCCCCCCGCGGGGAAAATTTATTGCTACCACATTAAAAAATTTTGGAAAAATGAACTTTATTATTATTGCAACATCAACTTGAAATCACTTTTCGAAATTAATTAATGAGGAAAATATTTTTGTTGCTGTTATCACCCCCTTGCCGGGAATCGAACCCGGGACCTTTGGCTTTACGCACCAATGCTCTGACCAACTAAGCATTGCACACCTATTACGTATTTTGTGTTAATCAGTTGCAACCAATTTTTGATTGAACGAGATTTGTCATAAAAAACTATATTTCAGATGCTACAAAATTCTGTCCCTACAATCCTAAACAATCCAATCCGCACGATGGGAAAGTGCCCACCAGTTGGTTGTACAAAAAGGGAAGTGAAACGGTAGAGTTAGTGAATTAATGAATATGTATCCACACGTAATTTTAAAGTTACTATCATTACTATTTACTATATTATACTGTACGAATTTATATGTTTATAAATTCGTACAGTATAATATAGTTTATAGTTACTATCATTACTATTTACTATATTATACTGTACGAATTTATAAACATATAAACAAAAATAATAAGAATAACGTAATAAAAGTACTGAATTTCTGGAATCTTTACTTTTGCAAATGCTGTTTTCCACCCTTATTATGAAAGAGTTTATCAAAATATACATAATGAAATGATAAATAAATAATACGAAAACACGGAATTCAACGAAAACCCAAAAGTGTTTTTCAAGGAGTACTTACAACAAAAGCTAGATTCTGTCTAAAAAGCTTAAAAAGCTATATTGTCCTTACGTAAAAGTTTGTTACATTGAAGATAATATTAAGGATGTATTTAAAATAAAATATTTCTATTTTGTTGTTCGTTGAATTTAATTTTCTAATCATTGTTTTTCTAGCCTTAAAATTTTCAAGTAAGGCGAGTTGTTGAAGAAATGTAAAACCTTAGTATTTTACCTTTATCCATTCTCTGGTTTATATGGATAAACTGGCCTGTAAAGGCAGTTATAATGACTTGTTTTTTATTTATATTTAATAACTTGTTTTTCATTTATATTTTTTTTATGTTCCATAATTCTCCGCTTTATGGCCCTCCCATATTGACCTATATACAGGTCGAACTGTAGTTAGTATCTATACCTACACATAAATGAAATTTTCAAACACACATAGGGCTAGACTTGAAGTAACAAAAATATAGTCATTGTGCTATATACATACATACATACGTAGTATTTTTATGAAGGCCAGTTAATAGTCCAGCGGCTCTACAATTTATTTTCTTTAAACACCAAAATACAATTTTAAGGCAGACTTACAAGTAGTAGACAGAGACATGCTGCAAACATACAGTTTTAACTATCTTTTTTCGAATTTCTAAATTAATCAATCGCGAATACAAAACTGATTTCCTTCATTTTATATCATTACCCGCTTTTTCCATATCTTGCCTTATATGACTTCCCAGATATCGATGACGATGACCTGGTGTTTTATTGTATGAATAAAGAGGTTGTCCCTGCGATTTGGCCCTATTCCATAGTTAGTTTTTTTGCTACAAGGCGTCAAAGTAGATCATTTTTTTCTTCAATTTTAAACATATACAACTCGATTCTGTCTTATTTGAGTTATTTCAGCATATTGCTAATTTCTGGATTTTCGCGTAGGTCCAAGTGGTCTCTGAATTTTGCCCTGTGTTTGTTTATATGAAGTTGTCTAGCGGTGATATATTCATTTCAAGTTTAAGTTGCGTGTGTCTTATCTACTAAGGGGCTCCTACACGGAGTCGGACCATCTTATTTTAGAGTTGAGCCAGGGATTTTGTTGCCTTGGGGTGCTTCCAAATGAAAGAACCATAAGTGATTGTGGGGCGAATATATACTATGTATATTCATAGCTTAGTTTCGTTTTTGAGCTTCCTGTTTCTGCAGATTAGGGGGGTAGAGGAGCCTAACTGCAGCGGTACTCTTGTTACGGAGATGTGTCTGTTGAAGTTAAGCTTTCTGTCTAGAGTAACTCCGAGGTATTTGATTTCATTCTTAAGCAGAATCTTCGTGTTAGGAGTAAAGGTAAAGGTCTAGATGATGGGTGGGATCGAAAGAGGAGGTCTCCCCACCACTGTACCATAAGTTATGGGGGTTAGATGATGGCTTCCCACCCCCAAGGGGATGGGGGTAGGGGGTTCGAAAGAGGGTGGTCACCTGAGTAAGACCCCATAAAAAATTTGCGGCGGTCTCACCCCTATAAAAAGTTATAGGGGTTCAAAATTGATTATTTTGACAATTTTTATACACTATAATTCAAATAAAATTCAATAAAAAATTATTTTCAAGCGGGTGGAGGTGGGGGATCGAAAGAGGGTGGTCACTTGAACAAAACCCGAAAACCTAACCTAACCTACCCTATTGATAAAGATATTTAAATAATGTTTTATGTAACATTCTCAATATTTTTATGTATTTTTCATTAGTTTTACCTTTGAATATTGTTTAAGAATGACTATATAAATATTTACATGTCTAGAAATGTATAAAAATTGGCATTTTTATTAACTTTGCACCCCCTAAAATTTTTATGGGGGTGAGACCACCACGAACTTTTATGGTACAGTGGTGGGGGAGACCTCCTCTTTCGAACCCCCCACCCCCTTTGGGGGTGGAGGCCATCATCTAGACCTTTACCGTTCTGGATCTTCTATTGAAACAAATTGCTTCTGTTTTGCTTTTGTTCGTTTTGATACGCCAAGCTATCAGGATTTTTGGTATTACGCACCAATGCTCTTTCATGTCCCCAGTCCCGGAAAATATTTTCTGCGTTCGCCCTCGCGTAACGCTCCTAAGGATCACTCTCTCTATTCATTTATGCAATAATTTCAGATAGTGCATCTTGAAGGATGTGGATTCTGAATAATTCTAAACACCCTGTACCGCACATCGTTTAAGTTTTGCGCAAAATCATTGACCCAAGTTCACCTGACGGCGCGATAACATGATTCGCGCAGTTATAAGCCCGGTGTCAACAATGAAGCAACTTGAGACATTGTCGATTCGATTCGGTTAGATTTTCGGTTTCTTGTGATTAAAAAAAATCGCTTTTTAACGACCAATACGACGTAGGAATAAGGTAAGAGGGTAGACGTTTGTTTCGGTTCAAATTTGGGGATTTAAAATAGGGGTGAATTTCCCAACACAATGGCATTTTCGTTTGGCTCATGTCCATATCGATCCGGCTCCACACCATCCATCCTTCTACTACAACCAACCGAAAAAGAAAAATTTTCACGCCAATTTTTCGGAATAGTTTACGTCGAAAGGTCACGTATGTGTTATACGTAGTGGGTATACTAACCCTTCGTGGGTTATTGCACCCTCCCGACGTGTTGAATAATTAGATAAGCGATTTCTTTGTAAACAATTTCGTTGAAGTGCCCAGAAGGCACTTTCAAGACGTATTAGAGTTGAGCATTTCTAACATTCCGTAGGAAGTCAAACAATAGAAATGTAACTCTTACATATAATTGCGTCGTGTCGTACCTGTCTTTTAATGAGAAAATTATCGGGTTGTTCACAATTTTAAACATAATACGGGGTTATTGTTTTAAGTGTTTTAAGTACGTTCAATGTTTATAGGGAACGAAGAGAGGTATCGTTATTGAACTTGGTACCTATATTTAAAGAAATTGGAGAATTACACTGTTAACCATTTAGTGAACTTGAATAACCTTAAACTAAAGTGATCCTCCAGAGTTCAAGTTACTTATTATAAAAGTTTGAAATTTCTGGTAGCTTTTTTTCTGTTAATAAAAATAAATTTAATCTGTTCGGTTAACGAATCTCCATAAAATGACGTGTAAAATTACAATTTTTTAAAATTTCAATAACTTTTTAACGGTTTAGTGAATCGATTTGTAATTTTTACAGGAGTTTTAGAATTGAATGAG